CTTTAAACTTAATCTGCTCCAATTGAACGGCAAAAATTTCCGGTAATGAAAGACACGGGCGAAGACGGTTTATAAAGCTAGTCGTCAATAAATGCCACTTTGATCATCTAAATTATAGAAAAACTGGAAACGCTAGGATTCATATTCATAACTCACCGTATTCTGTCGACAGGCAGCCACTTTTAATTATTAAGATATAAAATAATGCTTTGAATAATACAAAATCCATCTAACATGTTGTTATACCAGAACATTACCTATTCTATTGTAATAGACTCTCCCACACATAATAAAGTAGTAGTAGTAGTAGTAGTAGCGGTCGCCAGTTGGGCTCAGTGGAGTTGAGTGAGTCAGTCGATGTCGGACATTGGAGTATCAACCATCACAACTAGATTGCTGCGTCATTAATTATTATTGCAAGTTCCTAACGTTTTGTACGTCGGACCACTTTAGGACCGACTTAGCGAAATACAAGCCTCCACTGTGAAAACTACTCTACAACACATGTTAAAGCTTAGACATTGAAAGTTTATACTCTATGAATTCTTTAGTAATCCTAATCACCAGCGGAGAAGGGTTTTTTTTCACCCCAAGCAAGGCGAGAGTACCACTAGTACGCAAGGGGCTACAGAGAGTTTAAGTAAGGAAAAAGCCTGGGTATAGGGGGTGGGTGCTGAGAAAAGGATGAAAAAAAGAACGGAGGAGGATAAAAAGAAGAACGGAGATCAAGGCATCAGAAGATGACGATTGACATTACATTTAAATATTTGAAGATTATTAGGGAAACAAGTAAGAGGAAGGGAGTTCCACTGTCGGGAAGTGCGAGAGAAGAAGCTGTTGGAGTAGAAGTGACGGTTGCATTTAACTGTTTCGACAGTAATAGGGAGGGACTGAGATGCCAAGCTAGTAGCACGCTTAAAATCATGCAGTCGGGGCACTAGAGAAAATAGCTCGTCAGAGCAGTTGCCATGAAAATATTTACAGAAAAGACAGAGAGAAGCCATATTACGTCCGTGAGAAAGTGTCTGGAGTCGAGACCCCAAGTCAGGACCGATCACATTGCATATCCGTCTCTGGATTTTGCAAGAACCTTGAGATGAACAGAGGGGGCACCAGACCATATATGGCAACAGTATTCCATGCATGGACGAATGGTAAATTTGTAGATGTGAAGGATTGACTCAGATTGGCAGAGAGGACCAACTTTCCTTGCGGTAGATGCAGCAATTGATTCAATGTAGTTGTTCCACCTCAGGTCATTGGAAAACGTGAGACCAAGAAACAGATAGTGAAACACCCTCGAGGAGTTGATCATTGAACATGCTGATAGGGGGTAGGGACGTTTCTGTATGTTGAGTAAATGACAGCAGTTTCGTTTTGGATGCATTAAAATCCCCAAGCCATTTCCTGTCCACACAGATTGAAAGTCGTTTTCGAAACCAACGGACCGGTTAACTTTGTCAGAAATGCCGGGTTTACTATTGAGACAGGAGTAAATGGTTGTCTCGTCTGCGTAGATGCCGACTTGAGAACTGATAACGCCAGGAAGATCATTGGTGAATATAAAATGCAATGTTTGCTGCACGAACCGGACACTACCTATTAACCGTGAACCTAGCTGTATCTAATTGGTGCTGGGACAAACAGCTTTTGGTTATTTGAGCACTTGTCTTCCACTATATATTTATCATGAACTATCGCAGAGGGCAAAGAGACCCAGAGTTGCATGCATTTTTTGCAACTGTCAATGTAACGCTAGAGAATATGGTTTACCTCCAAGAATAAAACGGATTCGAACGTGTTTCGCATGTAAACTGTCCAAAAAGCAAAAATGGCGCCTTCGCCGATCACACATATAAAAGAAATAGACCCCGTAGTCGAATACTCTCTCGTAAGGTTAATTGTGGCAGTCAATGAGCATATAAAAAAGGTATAACGAGGCGACAGGTAGAACGGTGACTGCTGTATCGAGTAAGAGGCACGTGTTGCGGTAAGTGGAGTGTTTGATTAGAAATGGATTGCAGAAATTGTTAACAGCCCATTGAAGAAAGTACAATTTTACACACATTTCCATACAGTGTTATTCAAAACAACTTCGGTGTTACAAAACAAATCGTGCGTCGTGGACTTCACTCAAACGACGACCTTGGTGGTCAGCTGGAAACAAGTGACATAAACTGACAAATGCAGTAGTACCGAGGTTTGACTTTACATAAATATTCAGAAAAGATATAACGAAAGTCTAACATACCTCTGTATGAAGGAACTAACTGAAGAACAGTATACGATAATAGTAGATAAAATATTAATGCTGATGATGTTACTGTACACTATTTACCATTTAAATATCAAGATTTACGGTTTAGGAGGGATATCAAAAGGGAAACATTGTTAACAGCTACAAAAGACAGCAAACTGTGCAGAGCTATGATACCCAGTTTGTTCTTTTTTACGCTTTATCTACCCTTTGAGAGTTATTCAAAGCTGAAACATACTTTGTATTGTAAGAATAATTCCTCAGGGGCACGAGTGAATACTTAA